CCCCCCACCCCGCCCCCAGCTGTCAGCGAGGAATGCGGCTGGCGGGAGCTGCTGTAAACCCTCTCACGGTGTTGGCATCATCGATTACAGAAGGTTTCTGTGCGTCTCTGCAGATGCAAACCGCTTTTGCTCGCTTTTCTTTGAATGCGTGAGCGACATTTAGTGTTCTTGCCTAATTCACACACGTGCAGTCGGCTGAAATGAAAAGCGTGATTTGTGCGCGCTTTGACGTGATGACCCCCGGGGGTCAGCCGAGGAGCTGACGGAGAAGAGTTCCTGTTTGGGCCAGCTGCAGCGAGGCTACCTGTGACGGCACGTCGGCTCGCTCAGTTTAAACATCTYGTCTCKGAGCCTTGTTCCAATAACCTGTGCTGCGTGCAGAATGATCTACGGTGCTCTCCTGATTTAAGGAAAATGATGCATTACTGGGAAAAAAGGGAGCAAGTTCTTACAAAAAAAACCTGTATTTTTGCCTGCACCATTTCACTTCTCAAACATGTCTTAGATTAACGTTTTTAAAAGAGCCACCTAGCATCTGGAGGTCAGAGCCTTCCATGGGTGTCAACGGGGACAGAGAGCATCCCTTGAATCATGGAAACCCCCCTCATCGACCCTCTGACAGGCGCAGCTAGAAAATGTCTTTCATGTTTGGGTTAGCGGCGGGAATCTGAAGCAGGAGGCTACGCTTCATGCCTCGCGTGCCGCAGAGAGTCTCGCCAAGAGTTCAGGTTTGGTTACAATTGAATTAAAGTTTGGATGAGGCTTTCAGCGGCGCTGCAGAGTCTATTTATTTACAGAGATCAGGCTTGTTGTGTTTTTGTATATGTGTGTGTGTGTGCGCGCACTCACCTCATTCATAGGGTTTTATGTTAGCATGTTTGCAAGGGAGATACTTTTTTCTTTGCTCTCTGTGTCTTTCCTACCAGTGGAACCCCTGAAGGCTGTTCAGGTCAATGCGATAATGGAGCTGCCGCTACTCCCTGTGGCCCAGCAGGGTGGACATGCTCACTCATCTGTCTGATTACATGTGTCACGTTCTGTGCGTGCCGTTTTCCCTCTGCGATCTTTAGACACGTTACCTTCAGCTTCCTGATGTGTTTCCTGTGTTCTGTTCCTCCTCTGAACCGCCGCCTGGGTTTATTTTTTCTTCCGACAGCTTCCAAGACGTGGTGAACTACTTCGGGATGAAGCCAAAGTCCGGCGAGAAGGACGTGGCCCCGAGTTACGTGTTCATGCTCTGGTACGAGTTCTGCAACGACTTCAAGAACTCCTGGATCCGACAGAGCAAGAACATCTCCAAGGAGAGGTGAGTTGGGTTCTGGCTGTTTTTAGGGAAGAAAATGTTGCAGGATTTGTAAAGGGTTAAAAGTGTGTATGCATCATGGTTTAAACTTTGGGGTTTAACGCTGCCAATATAAACTTAACACAAAAAGTACGGAAATTAGTGTTTGTTCCACTGCTTCTTTGTTGCTTCTCGGTAATAAATCTTAAAGGGATCCCTGATTAGTTGTAACATTAGACTTTATTTGATAAACATATATTTTAACTGTAAAATAAAGACTGTAAAAATACTGTAGGCTGTTTAGTTTTTATAATTTTTAACCAAAGTTTTAAAAAGGTTATACCATTTTATTTACATGCAAAGTATTCTGGGTAAATGATGACATGGATAGGTCACTGGTGAGGCTGTTAGCGACCTATATCCACCCTGCAGGTTAGTCTTGGACAATATCTGATGATCGACTCTTTTAAATGAAACCAGGAAGA